CCATTGGTATATTTGTATAGTAGTTTAGTAATTGACTTTAGTCTCCGACAAAAATCATTTTCAAAGTGTTCAAATCTGTATTCAATCATTCATATGAGTATAAACTAACCATTTTTTTTACTATTAATTGATCTTTTTTTTCAAACTCAACCCTATAGAGTAATGTATTTTAGAAATTCTAACATTCAGTTTGATCAAAGTATGCATGATGGATTACAGAGTAACAAACAAAATAAGAAAAAAGAACACAGTTGTAGATGTAAATGTTCACATTATGAAACTGATTTTTGTAGTTTGTATTTCTAACATGATTTACATTTATTTGTATATCAAATAACTTTAGAATAAATCATGATTGAATATCAGTGGAACAATTAGGGTTTTCTGGAAATATCCAATATAGTATAACCTGATGAAATCGAGAGCTTGAAGCGAACAGTTTAGTGTAAGTCATACTGTGGTGTGTGCTACTTATATCGACATAATTAGTATATGATATTAGTCGTAAACAGAAGGTCTGACAAAAGAGAGACAAGAGGACCGAACAGTAAAGAATGGAAACAGAATGAGATTTGTATGAAAATGCAAGAACAATGAAGTTTGAGTCATTTTGAGACAATTGATCGACATTTTGCAAATTAATCATTTACTTTATGATTGTTAGATTTTATTAACAAGTCCTGTAATTTTGTGTTAAATACATTCGATTGTCCCACCCGTGTTCTGTTCACTACAATACTATAATTCATAACATTCCCTCTTTGTATACAATATACTCAGTGAACATTAAACATTGTAATAGTTGAATTCATGAGTCAATTGAGGCTAGACCATCATGGAAAACTTAAAAGCACTGGACGGCTGTTTCGTCCTAGCATGGAACTTTTTAGCATGCGCGTTCCTGCCTTGTGATGTTCGAACCTTGGACCTATCATTCTCGTGCACTGAGCTGGCATCAAACAGTATTAATGTCTAACTTTAATCAATCCACGAAATTGCACCACCGTCCATCATGCACACTACTGAGGAGTCCCATACTAGGACGTTCAGTGCTTCTAGGTTTTTTTCATGGTAGTCTAGCTTATAATATTCACAAAACCCCTCTTTGATTGAAATCAACTTAGTGACAAATTAAAGCATTAAATCAACATTTATTATCTTATAATGACTATAACTGCTGTCTTGTGTTTACTACTATAAAACTTAAAGATATTACGGTCAAACATTATTTTCTATTTAGATCTATTCACAGAATACCTTTCAATAAATCTATCATGATACAAGCTAATATAACAGGCTATTTTGTAGAAAAGTAATAAATTATAGACCATTTTAATTTAGTCAATAAATTATCTCCATGATAATTTCATTGGAACTCATTTTTAAAAAGAAAAAAAAAATGGAATGTATGAATAGAACACTAAATGAATCTTTGAATCCTTGATTACATTTACAAGACATTACATTACATGACAAGTTTTTCTTTTTAATGACATGAACATACATTTTGTGCATAAGATTACTTAATTACGTCATTAGAACAAGTTTCTTTTGAATAGAATTATTTTAATGCAGCAGCTGTATTAATCGTTGTGACATGATCAATTTGTATTATACTTCCTTCCATTTATTTTGTTCCACAAAAGCACACTTCATCAAAATATTCAACTACGTGGGGGGGTGTCTGTAGTATGTATGTATGTCTTAATCATATTAATATTAGTGAAAATTGTACAATAAGGGAGGGGGGATAGAGAAGTATTATGTATAATTCGTTTTACCATTTTATGTCTTTTAATTAAATAATAAATGTATGAATTAATAACAATTTTACTATTATAATCTTAAATAATGAACTGGGTCAACAAAGAACTGGATCAACAAGAATTGTATAGACATAAAAATAACTAAGCCGGATTACACAAAAATAGACTGTGTAATATAAAAACCTTAATTATAAACCTGTGTCTAGGGTCATTAACACACACACACATATATATACACATACACACAAACAGCATGATCAATCACACTACTTACACTAAGTTTCATTTTTACTAAGTTAGATTCAATTATTAGGTCAAGTGCTAAGGAAAAGAAATATTCAATGAAAAAAAAGTGATCACATACAAAACAACTGTTATTATCGTTTGTATTATTGTCATGATGCAATTTTGGAAATATGTTGATCATTAACTATTCTAATGGGTCATGACTGATAAATATCAATAAAGAATAAATTTTTATAATCTTCGAGATGGTGGAGAAGATTTGTAGCTCAGGTGGATGATTTTGGTGGAGTTTTGTTCTCTGAGCTGGATGGTTTGGTCGTGGAGATTTCATCGTTCTTCTGAACGACATCATCAGCACAAACTTCAGTAGTTAGTACAATCAGAAATTGTTTTATTAAGAAAGTGTTGAATGTAAGAAAGTTATAAAGATTGATCAACTTTAAGTTGGCTTTCATGAATGATTCACATTGGACTGAAAAATGATTGAAAAGCAACTGTGTTTTTTTTATCTCGGCAGCTAGGATTCTTCAATTGTGTTTGCCGACAAAATCATATAATATTGAACCTGATTTTGATCAAGTTTAAGTTTTAAGATATATTTGGGAAGTGAATCAAAATCCAGCAGTTCAAATCTATAACTTGAGACACTTCCGAATAAAGCATAATGAATATCTACTACTCTCTGTGATACTTGTTTCATTTCCAACATAGCTGAAATTTACTGTCTAAAAGTAATAAAACCACAACAGACAATCTACATTAGTAGTTAATGTGTACTAAATTCTGATCTCTGTGAGTGACGATCAAGAAATACAGCATATTGATGCACAAAAAGATTCATATAACTATTGATTGATTACTGAGTGGTGACTAATGTCATGCATATCCAGTCTTCTTAGTATTAATCGAACTCTATCGATCGTGTTACAATGTGACTAATAGTCTAGGTGACTTGACATAACGTGCACTGTATTGAGATGTGAGGTGGTGTTTACAGGTAGTTAACAGGAAACCTTAGACTTAAGCTTCGTGTTGTTTGGCACTCGTCAACGAGGTGTGCACGTAATCTTGAGAGGAATGATTCTCCCTGTCAGATTGAATCCCGGGTACCTTCAACCACTACCTTACATCCGCATAACAACTTCTTTGATACTACAAAACATCTATACATAGGTTTAACAATCAACCATTAAATGTAAAACATTTCTTATGGGTTACATTTAAAGGAGAGAAACATGATAGATTTATATTTAGTTCATGAATACTTGAAGGGACATACAGTCGTATTTGATTTGACGTATCTTTACTTCTATAATGTATTATTTGCATGAAAAGAGCATTCGCTTATAATGATCGATGTAGGTCCTGGAATAAATACTCAGAGACTCAAATTGTCATACTATGTAAGTATAGAGAGATGAAATGAACATGGTGAGTAGTAGAGAAATCAAAATAAATGTAGTAATAATGACAGACAGGAAAACTAAATACTGAAAACACTGTTCAAGAAGAAAGAATGGAAAGACATATTGTGAAGAAACATTGGAACTCAATATGTAAAAGGAGATAAAGATTGAATCCATCTGAACCATTGACCGATTTGGAGACATGTCACATCTTAGTGACTACTGATTATGATTGGCTTCAACCAGCTAGATCCGTTAACAGAAATATTGTTTATATGAAAAAAATTAGTACGACCAATCTATAAAAGTACTCTACTCCTCAATACCACAATTTTTTATATCAACTAGGTAAATATCTCTGAAATTTTATAGGATCCTCTTTATCTCGTGATCATTCATCATTCTGAATTACTTTCGCCCTAGATTATAAGTTTCCATTGATTTGGAACTTGCATTAAAGTTTTCTAAGTGATGGTTAGCGTTTTTTTAGTAATGCCATTTTTAACGGGACGGAGTTGCTAACCCCATGCACAACCCTGCTTCTTTCCTCAGGCTTGAGGCTGACAATAACCCTAAAAGGGTTCCAAGCGGAGTTCCCTAAATGATATTCGTCAGTTATTCTAATCAGTTTATGCGACCAGTATGATTTTAAAAACTATTTTTATTAAGGCCTTGCTAACAGATCAATAGTTTCACAACTTCTTACACTTTCTGTATTATTTCAACTAGAAGTTAAGGCTTTAAGAATATTTTTTAACTCATAACTCATTGGCTAAATACATAGAACATGTATTCAACATCGTGTGACACCGTCTTTGTAATTGTGAATAATTTCCCGGGTTATATTAAATGCATCAGAAGGTTCAAACCTGGAAACTGATATTGAATTATTTAACTCTCAAGTGACCATTCCCATCGCACTATTCACCGGAGATCTAATAATATCAAAAAGTTATCCTACATAAAATGCTTTGGATATGTGTGATTTAAGCTGAGAATTTGTTTTATTTTTTTCTGAAGAAAATAAGAAATTTATTGAAACTATTTATGAGTTGATTGGAAAAAAAGATGATCATATTCTAAAATCACTTGGTGTTGTTTGCTTGTATCTTCCCGTTGTTGTTCAGGACTGCAATTGACCAGTCTCTTTCTGGCATATGTGCATCCTGTGCGAATTGCTTCGATATTGTCTTAAGTCACAAGCTTTTTAAGGAAAGATGGATAGTGTCTAGATGTGGAATCCAAAACGCGCGTTTCTTCCTACTTAGTATTCATCAGCTCGATGTACCTGCATCCCAGAGTTGATTTTGACTCCGGAACTCTAACCCAGTACCATCCACTTCAAATGCTATCGCGTTACCCACTTAGCTACTGAGTTCTGATATATTCTAGAATATAAAATTTTCATTTTTACATAAGGAAACATGGCTATTCATTTAGATAAGAAGATGGTTGTCAAACTAAGTTTACTTTGTGATGAAAACTAAGAAAGAGACTAGTTAAATAAGTTCTGGGTTCTAACTTTAAAAAATGCAGAAAATAATCAAATGAATAAATAAGAAAATACTAAAAGAAATCTTACTTGTTGTGCTGACATTTTCAAATTATTTGCCATTTGTTCACGTTCTTGAGCGGATAAATAACGTTGTTGTTTAAATCGACGTTCTAATTCGTAAATTTGTGTTTGTGAAAATAAAATACGCGGTTTACGTCGATTACGCTGACGTATTAAAATGAAATCGGATTTTTTGTTCCTCATGATTTGTACTTCTTTCTTATCCAACTCATTATTATTATTATTATTATTATTATTATTCTGATTGTGGAAATAGTAATTACTATAAGAGTTATTTTGTTGATCTGTATTTGAATGCCTTGTGTTAAACTCATTTGTTTTTGACACTGAATTCTGATAATCATTGATACATTGAACAGGGGGTTGATGATTTATTAATGAAGATTGTCTATAAAGCGCTTGATCATCATATGTGGAATTTATTGTGGTTAATACTGTTACGAGGAAGAAAGAAAAAGAAAAAAAGAAGACAACAGAATGAGGTCATTACAATCGAACTAAATAGTTGTATAGTTCCATAAAACAGAGGCAAATATTATCAATTGAACAATAGATCTTATTAGAAATTGTAAAGTATTCTGAAATCCCTCATATTTTCCAATAAGATGACGTATTCATTTATTGTGTTAAGATTGTGTTGAAAATAGAACTAATAAACTGTAACAACCTTCCATATCTGAAATCTATTGTCTATCTAATAACATTTCTTGTTATTTTCCAACATTTTATATTATTTAACTAGTTACAAGATGATAAGTTTAAGTGAAAGACTCATCTGTTCATAAAAGAGAAACTAGTCCTTATTTCTAGTGGAGTTCTGTAAAATAGAAGTTGTCTACTGATAAGTTGTAAAATATGAGAAGATAAATGTTCATTGAATTAAGGTTTTCGAAAAAGATTGTTAAATACGGATATTACTAGTATGATAATTATGATTAATGATTCCATTTGGCTCACTTAAATCGTTAGACTATCCATACATAAATATCTCAACATAGACGTCAATTTTCATATTTCACTGTTTTACGTTATTCATTAAAATATGCCTATCTCATCTTCCTTACTCTGTTAATTAATCTGCTTCTTCAAACTAATTAAAAACTTTAAAATGGAATGATTAATTCATTTTATTCTACAAATGTGTGAAATTATCAGTTAATTTGACAGTAACACAAGTATTTATAAATAGCTAACTGTACAAGTTACTCAATGTCCGTTGACCTGATCTCATCAGCAACAGTCTTCTGTGGAAGAGGACAAACCAACTTCCAAATAAAGAAGAAGTTAGGAAAAGATATTGGAAGTGGATAGGACATACATTGAGGAAATCACAAAACTGTATAACGAGGCAAGCCCTAACTTGGGATCCTAAAGGGAAATGGAAAACAGGAAGGCCAAAGAACACATTGAGTCGAGAATTAGAAAAAAGTTATGAAAAAGATGAATAAAAACTGAAAAGAACTAGAAAGGATTGTTTAGGACAAAGTTGGGTGTTTCCATTTCTTCCATTACTTTATCGATTCAAATTCACCAAAAATACACAAAACTGTTCGTTTTATACTGTGATGTTATTTACTGAAATGTTTTTATCGTATTGAGAATACATATGTAATAAGTTACGTTCTATATTTAATGAATTATGACAATATGGTGTAATCTCTTGATCTAGACACTATGCTAGTCACTGTAATTATGAGGTTGATTTAACTTCCCTGGAATAGAATTAAGGAAAAGGCCAAATGGTTCAATGTTTATGTTGCTTAACTATGATATTAAATGATATAGATCTCTAAGGAACAGTAGTTTCTTGAAGATTACAAATACACCTTACCACTGATTAACGACAGTATTAATTAGAAGATATAGCCTTACGGTTTTCTCCTGACTAGATTCAACTATCTAATAATGTTAATAACTGATATTTAATGACATACAAAAGATATTCTTAATGACTTGAAGACATTGACTTAGATTACTATGTTAGTGTTATTTAAACAATATTATCTTCGATGATATTAACTCTTATGATTCAGTGATGAGAGATCAATTACATAAGCTGATAATGTTAATTCAAAAGCCATAGAAACTAATTCAATTAATTCCGTTCCATTGATTATAAGATGTTTTAAATTATAGTAATATTAAACATTAACTCCGCCTGGAGTCCCTCCGGGGGCTACCGCCGGTCCCAAGCCCGGAAAAAGGAGAAGGGTTGGGCATGGGGTTAGCGACCCCATCCCGTAGAAAACTAACTCTCTAAAATACGCTAATTAGAAAAAATTATTCAAACCATTTAAACTCTGCCCTGGGAGTCAGAAGGTTTTCATTTAAGAGAGTTATGAGGCCTCATGATGAAAGCCGAGTTCCTTCGGAAGTCACGAGGCTGATGCCCCTTTTGACAACCAGAGCAACCATTTATTTAGGCTTATGGAATACTCGTACAATGTGGGAGACCGAGAGAATCTTCCAAATTGTTAATATTAAACATTAACTACTTACCATCATTTGATTGTTTAACTTTTGAACATTCATTTATAGTAGTGGTATTCTGTAACATTTTCTCTGAAGTAAAAATTCTATTCCATTCATCATTTTGTTGAATAAGTTTATTGGAACAATAATCCATTGAAAATGGTAAATTATACAATGGATATCTATTATCATTATTATTATGAATATTGTTTGAGAATTCACTTGTATGAAAAAGTTTTTCATTAATATTATTATTAGAAGGTCTATAATCAATGTATGATGATGATGATGATGATAAAGAAGATGATAATGAAGTGGAATTCGATACTGATGTATCTAATGATGATGATGATGTAATAATAGAGGAAATATCTTTAATTACTAACTGATTTGATTGAAGATCAGAATAATGTTGATGATTATGATCTAAATTAGTTAATGTTATGGTAGATACTATTGGAGTTAAACAATTTTGACTATCTTTAGAAACATCTAATTTATTAGTTGTTGTATTAGTGATGATATTTTTATTTAAATATTCATGTTCAATCACTTCAATAGATTTGTGTTCAATATTTGGTTGATCATTTAGAATAGTATGAGTTGATTGATTATTCTGATGTTGTTGATGATTAGTATTGTAATTAATTAATGAGTTACTATGAGGATTATGATAATAATCATCATTAGTATATTTAAATAAATTAGATTCACGTGGAATAGTTAACATGTTATTCAATTATAAATGAGTTCGTTTTATTCTTTAATCTAAATTAATATCAAATATACGTGATTCAATCGTTATAGTATTAACTCATATTTGCAATAATACCATTTATTTGTTTGATGAATAAATCTTTATAAAAATTAACAACAGTATATCACCTTAATTCGTACTTTATCCCCTTGGGTCTATCGATAGATGTACATGGTTGTCTGTCAATATATATATAGACATAAATGTATATATCTATATATATTACAATTGTGTTTGTATATACCATATGAAGCTGAAGTAGTATGTTAATGTATAAATACAACTGATAAGTAAACAAAATATTCAAATATAGAGATATATAGTAAATTGTTTTTTTATTTTCTATCAGAAGAAACGTAGAATCCATTTTGTTTCTCTTACCTTTGTCTATTTTTTTGCCTGTCTTATTTCCTACCCTATTTTCTTCCCCTTAAATTTCTATCCTTCTTATATGGAATTCTATAAAGAAATCATAGAAACATTTATGAATGAATGAGATAATTAACCAATGAATAAACACTTTATCGAATTAAAAAAAAAATAACCGGGTTACAAAAACAGAAAACGCATTTGTTTAAAAGTAGTAGATGATGATTAGAATAATGAGGAAAGTTGATAGGATATTTTTCTAAAGGAAATTAACAAAAAATAACTTCATACATGATTGGTTTATTTATAAGAGGAAAGAATAACCATTAAATGGGTAAAGTAAGTAATTGATAATTTTTATAATTGGCTAGCATCAATTAGAGATTTATTGGATGTTAAGTACCTTTAAAGTAGCCGTTTCGACGTCATTGTAGACTTCGCAGTAATGTGTAACCACTAACTCACGAAATAGAATCAAAATCCTTCAAGTTTCATCGGAAACAAGAAACTTACTACTCGTTAGAATAATACTGAAGATCATGAATTGATTGGACTCAGATATGAATACCTCTGGTCGCTGGCTCAGTGATCTAGAGGTTAAGCGTTTGCGCGCGATAATGAAGGTCCCGGGTTGGAATCCCACGTGGGAGATCGTAGATGCGCTCTGCTGAGGAGCTCCGTACTAGGACGAAACGGCCATCCAATGCTTCCAAACTTTCAATGATGATCTAGATTAGATCGAAATGTGAATTTAACGGTTAAAATTACTACAGTTTCCACAAATTCCATTCTGATTGAACTCTCAGTTAATTTGGGATGTATTGCAATCCTAATATGATGTCAATAGCGTATAGCTTCAAGACTGATTCTCTGAAATGTTTAAAGAAAAATTATGAACCCGATGTTGGAGAAAGTTTGTTACTCATCGATAGTATTGATTTATAGTTGTAATTTTTCGAAAATTGCATGGAGTTGCAATCGGTGATTTCTAGGTTTGATCAATTGATGGATGAACACTATCAAGTTGGACTTGAGATCTTACGTTTCTTGATGTGATTCTTTTCCTAACCTTTGATGAACAGTCAGAGATTTCAAATTTGAGTTAAATAGAAACCCATTCATCTTAGGTGACTTACAGTTTCTCAGTTCATATCAGTTTTTAGTAAGAGTTACTTTCAAAGTATATAAGAACAAAGTATGAAATTAGATTCTGAGAATAGTTGTATACAATGGTAGTATTAATAACCGTAACATAGATCATAATATTATGGCAGAATCCAGTCAATAGGGAACTGTAGGCCTAAGTTTCGAGATAGTCGGCACTTATCAATAAGGCGTACTAGTTACCTTGGAGGAACTGTTACTATCTATGAGATTCAAACTAGCGTCACCCAGATTCACAGTCTGAGACATTGTCAATAAGTTGCTTGGGCCATTTTATAGGACTAAAATATTTACGTTGGTTGATTACGAATTGAAGACCAAAATCTTGTCTGTTTAGTCCCTAGCGCTGATCGGATTCTATAAAAAAATTTACAACTTGTCGAATAGTTGAAGTTGCTGAAAATCATGCCCACTAGGTTTCAGTGTTAGTTTGACACTAATTTAACGCCAAGTATAGAAAAGTCATTATATCTGAAATAATCTCAACGATTGAAATTTAAAATTAATTCCAATGTTTCGTCCAGCAAACTTGTTTGAACTTCTTCAGGGTAATAAACAAAATCAAGTTCACATATAATGAAATCTATAATTATTTATGGTAATTAGTCAGTCATAATTAATGTAAAATTGGATAGGAATATGTATCCGTTCAATTTATCACATCATGCTAGAACAGAGAGATGAAATGAATAAAGTGCAAGACAAAAATAGACACCAATATTCTGACAGTGTAAAAACTACTAGAAATAAAGGATAGAAACTTAAAAGAAGTAACAAATTGGTCAAATCAACAATATAAAATAAGCTGAACATTTGGAACAGAATCAGCTGACCCCATAGAATTGATTTCGAGTCATATTATCTAAAATGTCTTCAATCATAGAGTAAGATTTAGATGGCCATACGTCCTCATTTCCTTACACAGTTCAACCCAACAATATTAACTTGTCGAACTGATATTGTAAATTAATTTGACTATTCCTTAGCTATATATTATAAATCAATTCCAAAAATGGATAGAGATACTTAAATTTAAGTACATTGACACTTCAACCATTAACAAGATTTCAAACATCTAAGTAGTATATCAATAAATTTCTAAATAATAAATATTGAAAGATTTACCAGGCACGTAGATTTACTCATTTACTTACTTATGCCTGTTACTCTTCGTGATGGAGCATAGGTCGCTCACCAGCATTTTCTATCCAACCCTGTCCTGGGCAATCCTTTCCAGCTCTTTCCAGTTGTTATTCATCCTTTTCATATCTACTTCTATTTCCCAACTTAATGTGTTTTTTTCGGCCTTCCTTTTTTCCGTTTCCCTTCAGGGATTCCAAGTTATGGTTTGCTTCGTGATGTAGTTTGGGAAATAAATGACTTTGTAGGGTGAACATAATAGTTAGTTGAGTATGTATGGGAAACAGAGACTAGTAACCATTATTCTTCATTTAGTAGTGTATTAATTTGGAAGTGAAATATACAATTAAACAGAAAAAATGTACTAGCAATTCTTCTTTTGACTTATATTTACTTACTTATTTATGCCTGTTACTCTTCGTGATGAAGCATAGGCAGCCAACCGCTTTGACTTATATTTATAAACGTTGAAATCAAGTCACTTAGTATGATTGTATTTTATTTTCAACCTAAATAACAAATACCAAATGAAAACTATTTAATCTAAAACTTATTTATAAATGAAATATCAAAATGTTACTTATTCACGTTACTGTATGTGTCTCATTCTGGCATTGGGCTCATCAGTGCGAATCCACGACCCTTTATGAAACTGAACCCATGCCCTTCGGTCTCACAGCGATCATGTCAAGAGAGTCCTGGGATCGACCTCTTGTGACGTCCGTAACAGGTTTGTTCAATGGAAGTTTTGTAACAGTCCGACGATAAGTTTCACCAACCCAAAAAAACAACACAACAAATGACAGTCAGCTAAAGGATCACTGGAAATCACGAAGTATTAGACGATGTTAGTAAATAACATTGATCATCTGAGCATTTGAGATTAATTTTTAATATTTTTATATGTGTGAAATGAATAAGTCTGGAGTAAAATAGTTAATTCTTACTTATTAACAAAGTATAATCTTACTTATGATAAGATTTCAAGTTATCAATTCTTAGTTTCATAGATAAATTTTGAATGTTCACTTTGCTAAGAATCTCAAAAGTACAATGAATCATTAGTACAGTGCTTTACATTTGATCAATAACTCTTCGGCTGATTTCTATTCCTGATAAAAAACAATCCGTCTCTTTAATATTTCTGTAATAAGACAATGGTTATATTCAATAATGAATATTTCATTCATAGGTTTAACATTATATGAAATCATTATTATTCATTATTATTGTGACCTTATACCCAACTACTTATCACGTGATTTATTTACCCACTGAAATATGGCTTATTCAGTCTTAGTACTGTGCTAAACCAACGACATTCAACCGGTATGATCGGCCTAGCGTCCTTATTAGTTCTTTGTTCGACTAGCCCATCCAATTGAGTCCAGAATGTCAATAACAGCTTTCACTATGTGAATCATTTATTTCAAACATACTTGATTTATATATCAGTCAAAATGATCTCATCATACCATAAAATAGGAAATAACATTTATACAAGATCAAGCCAAAACGTGGCTGCGAACCTTGGGAGACTGTAATCAATAAACTGAAGATAGCTTTAGAACAGTAAATCGTATAATAATAATAATCTATAGATCAAAATGAAGCTTATAATAATAAGAATATAAATATACACATTCTTGTTCGGACGTTCCATGTGCCTATAAAAATTGTTGCTCTGGTTATTAGAAGGGGCATTGGCCTCGTGGCTTCTGAAGGAACTCGGCTTTCACCATGAAACCTCATAATTCTTCTAAATGAAGACCTAACTCCCAGGGCAGAGTTTAAATGGTTTGAATAATTTTTTCTGGTTAGCGTTTTTTTAGCGAGTTAGATTTCTACGGGATGTGGTCGCTAATCCCATGCCCAACCCTCCTCCTTTATCCGGGCTTGGAACCGCCAGTAAGTCTAGAAGAGCTACAGGCGGAGTTATACACAATCTAGTTACTGAATAGTTATTCCATAAGAACATCTAAATAATATTAGTCCATTAATAGGTCTCAGAAGTTACTCGTAATTTAGTCTTACAATATTTAATGCATAACTTCAATAATGAAATACATACCCATTCATCTGTAGTGATGGCAATAATAATGATGAATCAATTGATCATAGTTAGTTTACAGTTGTGCAAAATTATGTCTAATTTTATTGTTATAAAAGAAAAAAAGAAAACAATTCAATGAAACTTCTTTTGCACAAATGAAAATAATACCGGCAATACTACTGATTATAATAATAATAGTAATGGTAATAATAATAATAATGGTAATAATAATGATAATATTATAATAATATATGA